GTAGCTGGAACTACAGGCGCGTGCTACCACGCCCAGCTAATTTTTTGATTTGTTGTAGAGATGAGGTCTCATCAAGTTGCCCAGGCGGGTCTTGAACCCGCGGGCTCAGGCAATCCACTCACCTCGGCCTCCCAAAGTGCTGGGATTACAGGCTGAGCCACCGAGCCCGGCTGGAGCTACTTTCTTAATGCCAGGGTAGGGACAAGATTCCAGGTATTTGAATTTCCTTTCTTTTCTTTTATTTTTTATTTATTTTTATTTTTGAGTTGGAGTCTCACTCTGTTACCCAGGCTGGAGTGCAGTGGCATGCTCACAGCCACCACAGCCTTGACCTGCTGGGCTCATGCAATCCTTCTGCCTCAGCCTTCCAAGTAGTTAGAATCACAGGCATGCACCACCACACTTAGCTAATTTTTTGATTTATTGTAGAGATGAGGTCTCACCAAGTTGCCCAGGCTGGTCTCGAACGCATGGACTCATACAATCTTGCCTCCAACTCCCAAAGTGCTAGGATTACAGGTGTGAGCCACCATGCCTGTCTGGGTTTCTTTTTCAGTGTTCTTTTCCTTGCAACCTAATAGTTACTTTTGGCCTGCCTTTTGCATGTATTACAAATGGTTTGCTGCATTTTTATTGCAAAGGTAGCATTTGCTTGTTATTTGAAATGATATAATGAGCATGATTTACAGAAATTAAAGAAACTTAAGGAGAAGTGAAGCTACTAAAATTATAAAAACAGTTATAACTTTACAGACTATTTTCCCGTTCTAGATTATATTCCTAAATCAAAATTCTAGGGGTTAATTAAGGCATTTTGTTACAGATGTTAATTTCAATTAAGTGGATGTGGTAAGATCATGTTTTCTCAAGCAAAAGTAAATGCAATGGCAATGTCATGTTCTTAGAAAATGTGTATTTATTTTGGTAAAAATTTTGTACATTAAGAGAACTATTTGTGCTATTTGTGTTTCCTATTTCATTCAATTTTCAGCTTGGAAGTACATCTTATCCGGTCATAGTAATGGCAACTGAAGTACGGATGGTGCTATATGAAGATGACTCAGTGCAAGTACAATATATTGATGGTTCCAAATTGCAACTTTCTCCCTGTGGCTCTGAATTTTTATTTGAAAAGTCACCTCCTGTTTCAGCACATCCTTTAGAACAACCAGAAAGAATTCGTCAAAGGACACACTTTGTTATTAGCACTTACAAAGTAAGTAAAGATTTTTGTTTTGTTTTTGTTTTTTTAAGAGAGACAGGGCCTCTGTCCCTCTGCTCTGTCCCTTAGGCTGGAGGGCAGTGGTGCGTTGAACCTTGAACTCTTGAGCTCAAGTAATCTTCTCACCTCAGCCTCCTGAGTAGCTAGCACTGCAGGTATGTGCTACCATGCCTGGTTAATTTTTAAGTTTTCTGTAGAGACAGGGTCTTGCCATGCTGCCTGGCTGGTTTTGAACTCTTGGCCTCAAGCAGTCTTCCTGACTCGGCCTCCCAAAGTGCTGGGATTACAGGTGTGAGCCACTGCACCCAGACACAACTACTCTTTAATACCACAATATTGTTGAAAGGGGCTAGAATATGAAGAACAGTTACTATTCTGGATTATAATTTACTGTCATCTTAAATTGATTTTTAAATCCTCTTACATTGTTTCAGATAACATTTTATATTTATTTTTATAGGAGCAACTACAGCGAGCCCTAGATTTTCGAAACTCTTCAGCTTCTCACCCTTTTTTATCTGAAAGCATCATACCTTCTGAAAGAAAAAAGGTAATAAAAAAAACTTCATTTTTAAAAAATTTTTATTTTTTTGAGTTGGAGTCTCACTCTGTCGCTCCGGCTGGAGTGCCATGGCACACTCACAGCCATGCCAGTGTCAACCTGCTGGGCTCTGGCGATCCTTCCGCCTCAGCCTTCCAAGTAGCCAGAACTACAGGATCACACTACCATGTCCAGCTAATTTCTGATTTATTGTAGAGACGAGGTCTCACCAAGTTGCTCAGACTGGGTCTTGAACCCCATTTGCTCAGGCAATCCAGTTGCCTCAGCCTCCCAAAGTGTGGGATTACAGACTGAGCCACTGAGCCCAGCCTACAAACTTCATTTTTATAAGTAATATTTGAGGACCAGTACTTAGAAACAGGTAGTTTAATATTTAGTCGGTTTTTGTGTGTGTTTTTTTGACACCTGGGAATAGTTATTTCACCATACTGAGGAACATAGAAGTTGATCTCTCTGCCATTTTTTTTGTAGCCAAGGATTATAATCAGAATTTTTTACATTGGTGACATTTTCATTCTCAGAGATTTCAAAATTATGAAATTATGTGACCATTTTCTGTAACTTATGTGTAGTTATTTTTTAATATATATTAGAAACGTGTGATACATATGAGTATAAAAGTTTTTTTATTTTTACTTACGTAGTATTTTATTTTGGACTTTTAGGAATAATAATTACTATTATTTATTGAGGTTTTACTATGTCCAAGAACTAGGAATAATATTATAAATATTTAATAGCACCATATGGCATGGGTATCTACTGATCAAAATGGATGGCCAACCAATTAGAACAGATGTATTGTCTGGATATCAGCCCTTTTTTATTTTTTTGAGTCAGAGTGTCACTCTGTTGCCTAGGTTGGAGTGTAGTGGCATGCTCATGGCCACCCCAGTGTCGACCTGCTGGGCTTAGGTGATCCTTTTGCCTTAGCCTTCCAAGTAGCTGGAACTATAGGCGCGCACTGCATGCCTGGCTAATTGTAGAGATGAGGTCTCGCCAAGTTTCCCAGGCTGTTCTCCAACCCGTGGGCTCAGGCAATGCTCTTACTTCGGCCTCCCAAAGTTCTGGGATTGCAGGCTTGAGCCACCGCATCCGGCTCAGCCCCTTTTTATACATAAGGAAATTATGTCTCAGAGAGTTTGCAAGATTTGTCTATGGAAATTTTCTAAATGGCAAAGTTAGGATTTGAACCTAGTCTGACTCTGAAAACTATTTTTCAACTACTTTCTGCTATCTTTCTATGCTGAGTAATTTTTAATGTAAAATTTTATATTATCTTGTGGCAAGGGGCCCATAAAAAATTATAAGCTGCAACTTAGTTTTGAAGACTCTTTTTCATTTTGACTTTTGAGTAACATTATTTATTGAAACTGCATAGCTTGCTGCTGATGCTATAGTAAGATTATTAAATAATCTAATTCTAACAGAGAGAACTTTCTTAACTGAGGACCATCCTTACAAACCAGGTTT